GCATGACTTCCCTGTACAGAGCTCTTTGTCCCGGATCCAGCAGGGCCCACTCTGCCTCCGTGAAAGAGACACACACCTCCTCAAAGGAAAAGGGGCCCTGGAAGGAAAAGCAGATTCCCTCGTCAGAAATCACACCAGGCAGAGATTGTCCACGGGAAGGGAGTAGTCTGGGAAGGGAAAGGATGTCAGGCTTGGGATGGATCTCTTGCCCAGACACCTTGTAGAAACTGCAGGAGCAAAAGCCCCCCTGAGGAGGGACCCAGGCTGTCCCCCTCCCCCCGCTCATCTCTCCTACCTGGACTGGAGGGGCGGCAGCCATTTCCGGACCTCTGAAAAGATGACGGCTCAACAGCATCTCTTCACTGCCTGTTCCTGAGACAAAGGAAGGGTGTTGGCTTGCTTGGTCCCAGCCTCACACACACACACACACACCTCCCCAGGATTGTGAAACCTTGCCCTGGGTACGATCAGAAATTTTAAAAGACTTTTTACTAAATTCTGGGAGAGGGAGGAGACACAGGTGCACACAGAATTGCAGGAAGCCTGGTGGACAAAACAGCAGAGGTGAAAGGATCGTGATCACCACGACTTCATCAGCAGGAGATGTCAAGGATGGAACCTGGCCTCTTGTACCTGGACAAAAGGTATGCAGACCCCCGAGACACCATGTTCAATGAAGGCGGGAAAGAAATGTGACTCGGGGATCTAACAGCAAGCCTCTTATTCCCCCCGGAATGTTGTCCGGCTGGACAGCAGAATCCGCAGCCTCTGCGAGGAGGTCATTTACGTTAGTGCTTTGTTTTGTTGTTTTTCGCTTGTTTTATTTTGCTTATATTAAACTCCTAGCATGGGCTAGGGTAGGGATACATGAGTGGTCCGAATTAAAGGAACAGATTTATCATGCAGATCACCAGCATAGGCCGTGAGCCACGGTGCATTAAGATACGTTCAAACAGAATAGTATAAAGGTCATTGTGACCTGTTGGCTTATAAACTAATGGGAAAGTGCAGTATAGAAAGAACAAAGAAACAAACTGCATCCCAACTGGGTTTATTTTAGATCATTAATACTCTGAGCCGGTTAAATAAAGAGTAAGTGGTATTTGACCTGAAGGCCAACAGGAACTCATGGAATCAAGAATACAACTACTGAGTGTAGCAAAGGATGCAACAAGAGGCATTAATTATAAGATCATAAGAGATGCCAATGTTGGATCAGGCCAAAGGCCCATCCAGTCCAACACTCTGGGTCACACAGTGGCCAAAAATACCAGGTGCCATCAGGAGGTCCACCAGTGGGGCCAGGACATTAGAAGCCCTCCCACTGTTGCTCCCAACCCCCAAGCACCAAGAGGACAGAGCATCACTTGCCCCAGAGCCCCTATCTATACCTTGTGGCTAACAGCCAGCGATGGACCTCTGCTCCATATGCTTATCTAATTCCCTTTTGAAGCCGTCCATGCTTGTAGCCGCCACCACTTCCTCTGGCAGTGAATTCTATGTGTTAATCAATCTTTGGGTGAAGAAGGACTTCCTTTTATCCGTTTTAACCCGACCGCTCAGCAATTTCATGGCGTGCCCACGAGTTCTTGTATTGTGAGAAAGGGATAAAAGTACCTCTTTCTCTACCTGCTCTTTCCCATGCATAATCTTATAAACCTCAATCATGTCACCCTCAGTCATCTTTTCTCCAAGCTAAAGAGCCCTAAGTGCTTTAACCTTTCCTCATAGAGAAAGTGTTCCAAGCCTTTTATAGTTTGCCCATTGGACCATTGTCTATTAGGGCAGCTGTTTTGAGAGGTAAAGGCTTCCCTTGCTCGAAAGCCAGTTGAATCCGACTCTAGGGATAGGGTGCTCATCTCCGAGCCAGCGCTGTCCAAAGAGGTTTCTGTGGTCATGTGGCCAGCATGACTAGACGCCGAGGCGCACAGAACGCTGTGACCTTCCCACCAAAGCGGTACCTATTTATCTACTTGCAATTTCTTGCTTTCGAACTGCTAGGTTGGCAGGAGCTGGGGCCAGAGACGGGACCTCACTCCTGAC